CTTTGTCTTCAATATTACTGTTCTATTAAGTTTTAAGATTCAAAAATGAGTCTCTAGAGACAGGATGAATTAGGCACTGCACTGAATCAGACTCTTTGCTTAAACTAGATCCCTAAACCCATTTACTAAAATCTCATATAAGCTTTAAAATTATTCTAATTTCACTCACTTACATTAAGAAGTAAAAAAAATAAAGATTGAACTAAAATGTAATTGTAAAATTTGCTTTCAATCATTTTAAATATGAATCTTTAATTAAACCAATACCTGGGGATATTGCCAACAAGGCCTTTGTTCAAGAAGTTCCTGCTCAGGGGTAACAACTGTCTCCAAATCCTGTCCCTGATGTACTACAAGTGGACATGCCAACAAAAACTGATCAGGCGTGATCCACCGTTGCCACTTTCAGGAAGCCGGTCCACAGCAATAATGTGCAGCCGACAGGAAGTGGCTGTAAAAGGCATGAGAAGATCAGGAGCACCGAGTTGCAAAAAAAAAAAATTAAATTTCACCCAGTTAGGGTTTAAATTTACTTTAAAGTGATATTAAAGTCAAAAGTTTTTTAAGCTATTTCAAATGCTGATTATATGACTTAAAATTAATTCTGCTTCTTAAGGTTTATAAGTTTTAGTTTCCTGCAGAATCAGCTGCTCTTCTGTGCACTGGCCCTGTTAACCTTTTTTAGGGTGCCTCCTTTCCAATGCAGGGTCATATGGAGTCATTCTTGTGTGTGCTAGTAAGTTGTGTGTGTCTCCACAAGCACACAGACACAGCAAGGCAAGACACTATCCTCCACCCTGCTCCCCTCCTCCTCCAAGCTAGTTGATGGACAGCTGCTGGAGTCTGCTCTGTCTCTTGTGATCTTGTAGTGGACAGGAGGTTCAGGGAAGCTGAGCAGAGAGAGTCGTAGTCAGCTGTTCATAAACATAATGAATGTAAGTGTTTGGGCAAAAATGTAAAGAAATACTTTGCTGGGCAATATATATTTGTTTGATCTGGATTCATTATTGAAAAAAAGTTTGAGAGTTTAATACTACTTTAACACTGTAAGATATCAGTTGTAGAATGAGTACATTGCTTTTAGTTAGTTTCCCAACTCAAAAAAAATGTATTGGAAGAAGTGCAGTAAAGCACAATTAAACAGGAAGCCGAGTTTGCATATGTAATGATCAAGTATGGCTGGCCCCATGCACATTTACAGTAGCAATCTATACACAGAACACAAGGTTTTTAAAACCTTTAAAACAGACCAAACAAATTATTTATATCAAGCTAATTTAACATGTTAAAAAAACACTGAAACCACCATAGATTGCCTTTAGATACCATTCTGGAAACTATGACAGTGCACACATATAAGTCAATAGTAATGTAAGTGCCAAATTCATAACATAAAGATTTGGGTGGGGAAAAAGGCAATAAAGAGACGTCCTAGTCTACAGATGTCATTTTGAAAGCAGGAGCACCCTGCTGTGTAAAAATAACAGGTAATTAGTGACAGTAAAAATATTGACATATCTTCATTAAATACCATTTTCAAAAACACTTAAAAGTGGACTGTAAAGAACGCTCCAGTGACAAGAGAGAAAGGAAGAAAACAACACCAACTTTTGACATCTGGGAAACAAGAACAAGTACTGGCAGGTTGGGGACATTTGCACATTTCTAGGCATAACTGTTCATTTAAGGGGTTGTTTTCCTGAAACTGAACTAGTTAAAATTCATGTACACTACATACATATAGGTGGATAAGCTCACTCTCTTTCACTCTGCAGCCCCAAATGTCAGACCTTTCTTTTTCTGGGACACCATAACATTAGTTTGCCAGAGAAAATGCATAAACTGGGGTTACCTTCGGTAAAGCAACTAATAAGATTAACTAGTGAATAGTTTTCCCATACAGAAGATCTGGCCAGTTATGTAAAGCAGAAGTTTGTGCTGCTGGGTGATCCAATCCCCGCTATAGAGCCCTTACCAGTCTATGTCTGCACCATTTATGGAGAGCTCGCACTCTGTCCTAGACAATGGGCCCCCTTCCCCTCATCCATGAACTGAAGACATAGAGAATCCAGCAAGGGTCCCTCTTTTTTCATATTTAGAAGTATGCATGTGCAGGATAATGGAACAGAATTCCTTACCCCTTGTAATTTTGTACTTAATTATAGCACCTTTTCCTGGGGATTTAAAGCACTTTTGTTGTTGTTGGGGCAGATGGTACAGCAGCAATCTTTGTCACAATTTTAGACAGGAATCAATTAACTTACTGGTATGTCTTTAGAGTGTGGGAGGAAACTGGAGTACCCCAAGGAAATACATACAACCACAGGGAGAACGTACAAACTCAATGCAGGTAGTGCCCTGATTGGGACCCAAACCAAGGACTCTAGTACTACATGGCAGAAGGGTTAACCACTAAGCCACTGGTAACTGCAATGGTATGTCTCCCAAAAAGAAAGCATTGCACTTCATTCTAAATCTTACTGTGTGGCTACCTCATATTAGCTCACTACACACCTGGCGTATTAAAACCTCCGTTGATTGCTGGTGAAGCTGATTTTTTTGCCCATTTTTAATTACCACGTTATTCTTCAAACAGAATAACATTTTATTTTGCAGTTGAAACTTCCCGGTCCTTTACTGTGATGGGCAGCCTGGCTGACCACAAATTAGACCTGGGGGACAGGAGGGAGAGAGGGCCAAGCTTGACATTTATAGGAAAAGTCGAGTTTTTAAAATAACAACTGCCTATGACTTTAAATATACTGAACATTTTGATATGCAGTTTTCACTGAAGGTAACCCCTGCTCATATTTTTCTTCACTGTATGCTAAAGGTAGCATGGAAAATAATTCTGCAATGCCTACTTTACTTTACTCTCATCCTACATCCATTATTTATAGTCAGGGTTGTAGGTCAGCCCAGACGTCCCTTTGCCTGGCTAAAGGCTCCAATCCTTCCTGAGGGATTCCAAGGCATTCCCAGGCCACCCAAGAGATATAATCCCTCTATGATACTGGGTTTGGTGAAATACAGCAAAAGTGGTAATCTTATACTAATCATGAATAGTTCTACGAGAAAGCTGGAGCAATGTGTTTTTTCCCTAATAAACAGCTAAATTGATGGTTTTAAAAACAAAATCTGAGAATTATGGGCTATTACTCAAATTTGCAAGATACTTTTTTTCAATCATTAGCTGTGCATGACTAGTAATATCGCTTTTAAGAGCCAAGATTTCACCAAACTGCTAATTCTAATATATACATGTAATACCTATATGTATCGTTATATATGTACACTGCACAGTTACATTCCATCTTTACATATGCATGCTGTGCTTAGGAGCACTGCACAATATGGTGGCTACTTTAAAACACACACAGGGACCAGGGGGAACAAAAGTAGCCGTCCTCCAAAAGGAAGGACAGTGTCAGCACCAATTCAGAGATGATTTGAGAATCTACAGCTGAGTGAGAGGTAAAGTATTTGAATGCATTGGTAAGATTTAACTCCTGAGTTTAGTGTCACTTAAATGGGAAATCTAACATTTTACAGTTGTCACCAAAACAAAAAGTGGGGTAAAATTTTCTCATGGATACATCTGTTTCCGATGACAACTGTGTAAGAGGGGAATTCCACTCACTTCCTTTTGCGTGTCCAGAACAGGAAGTAGAACTCTCCCCTATGGTAAACAGCAAAAACTAAAAATGTTAAACCTTACTCTTTTAAAAACAAATTAATGTTAAGCTGCTCGTTTAGTGAATTATATACACTGTAATCAGTCTTTAATTTTAAAATTTTATTTTATACTGAAATATTCTCCAAATTTGAAAAAATCAGTATAGGCTTCAAACTTGCACAATCAAATTTATATTTGGTAGTTTCTAACAACATGGTTATTCACAAAAGTGTGAAGAGTTTGGAGAAGGCAGGAGAAGTGAACAATCTAGGCCAAAATAGCTGATTTGGAACCATTCTCCAATTCATCTCACTTTCCAGTTCAGCTATGTTGTCCTAGATTGTTCACTTCTCCTGCCTTCTCCAAACTCTTCACCCTTTTGTGACTAACCCTGCAAGTGTTTATGTAGTAATATTTCATAATCACTGAATCATAGTCCAAGTCTAGCAATCATATGTTATCATTTTGCCTCCGTTTTTGTCTGTTATAAAACAAATCTTATTAACCCTTGCACGCATTGCAAGGGTTACCTGCTCCTTTTCGTCTAGGTACTAAACCTTGGAGCCAGCTTGCTCTTAGACCGGTCCTTCCAGCCTTGCTCACCCTATGCTGCAGCGGTCTAAGAATCCTCGAGTCATCACTTACAATACACTTCAAGGGTTAACAAAAAATGTGCCCAGAGTTCTTCTTCAAGCAAAGGAAAAATAGTTCTCTTGCAAATAACAAATCAGGTTTCCCCTTACAACACAAAGCAATGCTTCTGACTGGTTGCTTCTGGCATCAACTTTTGCTAACAGCAGTTTTTTTAGATCAGTTGATTCTTACAGTACTCATAGACATTTACCAACTGTTGCCTGGTCCAGTTAATACCTGGATCAGTTATGCTCATTGGTAATGAGTATAGCTGAGAAGGAGGAGAATCAATAGTCCTGGACAATAACCTTTGTTACCTGGAGATTACACTGGCACATCTGATCTCTATGGGTATCTTTAATCCTGGAAATTAATGCTTTTGAAATATACTGGTAACACATTGATATAAACTGGTGACAAATGCCAATCAGCTTACAGGTTTCGTTTTCTAAATGGCACTCAAAGAATGAGACCTGGAATCTGACTGGCTGCTGAGTAACTTTTAATAAATCAGTGACTTTGTCCTATGCTAAAATAACTGCCCGATTACATGTGGGAACATAGACATGTCATCGATAACAATCATGATCTAGAAGGTGATGTTATCAACACAGCACTAGGCTTTTTAGTAGACAGTGTCAGCTTTCACGACTAAAGCGTGTATAGAGCACGTTAAAGCACATGTACATACACCGTTAGTTGTTGCAAGGTATCCATAAAGTTGTAGACGCTTACATACACCAACAAGGCCCAAGTGAAGTGTCACATTTCAGAGTCAAGCCGTGAGCAGCCGGATGAAAGGAAAGAAGACAAACAGAATAGGTTAAGGCATGCACATCTTTCACTATTTACTGACAACACAAAACAGACACATGCAGTACAGTTTACAACATGATTGAAAAGTAATTCCCTAGAAAGGGCTGGATTTACCAGAAATTTCTTATGCATTTTTCGGCAATCAAAGAGTGTCAATATCATAGCATATAAATATAGAAACAACCATAACATAGAAATCACTAAAACATGAATTCAAAGGTGTAGACATTTCTGTGCCTTGAGTGAAGGCTTGGTATCAGAGACCCCTCTTGCAAACACTTCAGGCCATGTACCCATTTTAGTCAAGTTGCAGCACATTTTACCACACATGGTACTTTTGTATGTTATCATTTTTATACAGAAGTGTGGAACTATGTCAAAATATAAAAAGAACAAGGTAAAAATCTAAAATTAAGTTTACATTAATTACATTTACACAATATTTCCAAGGTAAATACTGAAAAGTATGTTTACATCAAAACCCAACTAAGGAACAGGCACCCTTCGCCATCAGGATAGCTTCAATCCTCCTTGGAATGTTGTTGTACAAGTCCTGAACTGCGTGTAGTGGGAGACTGTAGCATTCTAAGAAAGCTTCCATTTTTTGGAAGGACAAGAGAAGTTTAGATTTGGTGATTGTGGAGGCCATGGAAGGCATTTGAATTCATTGTAGTGTTCCTGAAGCTACTCTTCAATGTGCTTTGCAGTGAGTATAGTATAATAGACTCGGGTCACTACAGATAGGTGAGTGAGGAGATACATAATGGGCTCGATTAATGTATATGTAAGTTTTTTCAACATGTAAATGAAAGCAAAAACCCATAATACTGCATCAAATAGCTATCATTCATTTAACTACCTCCGGGCCGGCCGTAGTAAAAAAACGGCCGGCCAGGAGCTCTCTTGATCTGAGCGGGCGTCTTTAGACGTCCGCTCAGACACGCCCCCCGGCGGCGCGCGCAAGCGGGAAGTGGCCGCAATTTAAAAACGGGCAGCGATGCCCGTTAATATACATGCGATCCGCCGGCTGTAGAGCCGGCCGATCGCATGTATGGTGTGCGGGTCGGGTGTGTCCCCCCCCCTCCGCGGTCCCCCCTTTAAATGGTATAAAATTCATTTCAGTACAGCGTTGCATGACGGAATAAACGTCAGTCAAAGTATCGCAGCGCTGAATACTGAAAAATGGCTTGGCCAGGAAGGGGGTCTAAACACCTGGTCTTGAAGTGGTTAAGCATGTTAGATTTTTATTGAAAGAAATAGGAAGGAATCATTACACAACTGTCAATCATTAATACGTTTCGTGGGTCATGTATCAGTACGCAGACTGAGATCTATACAGCTATCATCCATTTAAAAGAAACCTGTACTAAAAGAAATAAGAAAAACTGTGGCTGACAACTGTCTGGCTCTTGGCAGCAGCATACCTCCTCTGCACTCCATTCAATCGGCCAAGTACAGACTGAGCACTTCCAGGTCTGTGCATCACAGGGAAGATGGCTATCCTGAAAGTGAATTTGGGTATCCCAGGCTCCTACAGGACCCTGGGCTGCCACAGACACTCTCAGCATACAGAAGTGATTGCACGGCTTTTCAGCCATCCGAATCACCTCTATTGCAGAGCCCAAAGCCTGAACTCTAAAATATGTAAATCCTGATCCTGCCACACCATAACACTTACAGCAGCGAAAAACCTAAAGTGTATCTAAACACCCACCAAAAAAGATTAAAACTGCATTAGAGTCCCTTTTCTTAAGCTTTTCCTCCATAATTTTTACCTGGTAACCCAGCCAGCAACACAGATCCTGTCCTAAGGTGACAACACTCACATTGTCTTGTATCTTGTATCTATGGAGGAGCAGCCTTGTCATCTTAGGACAGGACTACAGAACAATTCCCCTTTCTTTAAGGGTCATGACACAGAGGCTCCCATTGCTGACCTTCTAATAATGATAGTTTATTTCTTATTGGCATTTATATTGCGCCAACAATTTACACATCACTTTACATAGTGCACATTCACATCAGTCCTTGCCCTCAAGGAGCTTACAAGTGTAACGGGCCAATTAACCTTTCAGCTTGGAGTGCAGGAGGAAACCAGAGTACCCGGAGGAAACCCACTCAAGCACAGGGAGAACATGCAAACTGCTTGCAGATAGTGACCTGGCTGGGATTTGAACCAGGGACCCTCAGTGCTGCAACTACGTCACTGTGTTGTCTGATTGCTAATCCTTTGGTTTCAATACTCTCAATCACTAACCCAGCATAAGAATGTTAAGTAAGAGAGGTCAAAGTAAATTGAAATATCCTTATACATGTTCAAATACTCCTGCATACATGTTATGGATTGGTGATTCAACATACTGAAGCCAGAAGCTGAGCAATTTGTGTATCATTCAGCTGTAGATCCTCCAATCATCTCTGAATTCATGCTGACACTGTCCTTCCTTTTGGAGGGTGGCTACTTTTGTTTCCCATGATCCCCGTGTGTGTTGTAAAGTAGTCATCGCTCCAAGCTTACTCCTGTGATGGACTACAAACTCAATACAACATACTAAACAAAACGTGAGATTGTAGTCTATCACGGGAGCAAGCTTGAAATGGTGGCTACATTACAGCACACACAGGTGTCCCTGGTTAGCTGGCTCCGCCCAGCTGTCAGAAGCAGGCTGTCGGCCGGCCGCTCGGCCAGCTTCGGCTTTCAGCACGGCTCAGCGCTCGACTGAGCTGCTCGGCCGTGAACCGAAGGGGTCCTGGGGCCGAAGCCAGCCGAAGGATCGGTCGAAGCTACGGCCAGATCCTTCGGCAGCTTTGTGAATAGACCCCCTGTGTCAGCATGAATTCAAAGATGCTTTGAGGATCTACAGCTGAGTGATACACAAATAAGATACATTTTTATTAATAGTTGAGGTACTTGAATGCATTTTTAAGATTTAATTCCTGAGTTTAAAGAATAGTTAGAAAAGATCTCACATATTCGGACAATAATGGCATTTCATGGCATTTCATCCTCGTCTCATATAATGTCATAAAAGCTCCTCTTCCCAGGGATTCACATGAAACACGAGAAAAGTTGTTTTTCCTCTGGTGTGAAGGAAGGTGATGTTGTTGACCGTTTGCTGCTTAACATGGGCACAACTGTATCGCTAGCAGTTAATAAGCACCAGCTAATTGCTGTACTGCTCAGATGGTTCACAACATTAGCACATGCTGGGTGGTCGCAAATAGCAGGCTTGGCTGCAATCCACTTGCCAAATGTGCTTGTATAGGCTGGACCTCTGTGATGTATTTGACAGATTTTTATGTATGAAGGTTACACGTTTCTTTCTTCCTTTATCTAGATATCTACTCAAACTATCTATCTAGTTATACTATATTTGAAAGTGCAAGCTCACTGACAGTCTACAAGTACAAAGGTAGCTATTGTTTCAAGTTTAAAATTCAGGATTTTCCTGAAAATGTCAACTGCTCCAGTCCAACTGCAAAATGTGAACAAGGTGCTCCTAATGGGATTTACTAAAGGCAATAGGCGGTTCACTTTGCAAGGACATTTTCACTTTGCAAGGGATTTTCCTTAGCTTTGAAATCTCCCTTTGCAAAAAATACCCAATCACATGCAAGAAAAAAAAAAGTATGTTTGCTTGCACATGGTTGGGAGATGGAAGTCAGCAGAGCTTCACCACATTCACTAAACTAAGGAAAACTTTCCTTGCAAAATGAACAGCCTATTTACCTTAAATCAACCCCACTTTCTTTTGCAAAAGGGGTAATCCACTGTGAGTTCATCGGTTGTTTTATTACACGTTTTTCTGAATAAATGGTATTTCACTTAGAGTTGGCGCTCTGTGTTGTTCTATTCTTGTTTGCATGTATAACGGGAATCCCCGATCCTTGTGAGGAGCAGCCCCTAAGAGTGAAGTAATCTGTCATGGCTGAAGGATAGCAGAGGCTCCATTAGCGCTGAGATCAAGAATTTATATGTTGTTGACTATGGTGTGAACATAGCCTGATGGCTTGTTCACACCATCTCTGGACCAGATCTGGGTGTGTTTCTGTATATGCAGTACATTTTTGATGCGTTCCGGTGGGTTTGATTACATGCATTTTGGTGCGTTCCAGACCAGAAAAAATAGTACATGCAGCATTTTTCCCCCTGCAACGGAACTGATTGCACCAACAGAGCCCAGAAATACCACAGAAATACATTGGGATGCATTTCAGGTGCGGACAAAAAAATGCTCTGGTCCGGAGATGGTGTGAACAAGCCCTGACAGGAGACAGTGGAACCCCCCTGTGACTGCAGTGATAGCAGTGCAGACGTGGGAACTCCTGGGAAAGAAACAAAAAACTATTAGGTGATTTAAGGTAGGGGTCGACTGATATCATTTTTTTCAGAACCCATACCAATTATGGGCCACCTTTTAGGCCGATAACCGATATCAGGTGCCGATATTCTGTTTACATCCGGCTGTGGATTCTTGTGCCGCTGGCAAGAATCAGCAGCCGGCAGCTGAATGTAAACAGCAGGCAGTGGGTGGGAGCAATAGCCAGCCTGCAATTGGCTATTTCAAATTGCAAACTGGCCACTGCAGGGGAGTAGACCTGAAAGAGATCCTTCTCTAGCACATCCACTTTTCTGCCGCCCAGGCAGTGGGCGGGTGCAAAAGCCAGCCTGCTACTGGCTATTTTTAATAGCAGGCTGGCTATTGCACCACAGAGAGTGGTGTTTTGTAGTCCTGTTCTGGGGTGACAACACTGCTCTTCTCTAGGACAGCACTGCAGAACACCACTTTCTCTCCCCTTCTCCATAACATGGAATAAGGTGTTGTGTAGTCCTCAGAGATTGCTGGGACAATATACTGGGTAATGATGCAGCACAGGAAGTTTGGCTACAGCTACACAAGATTTCTGGCAAGATCAACAGGTATATTGAACAGATATATCAAAACTTTCAAAGGTATTTTCAATAAACCAAAATGTTTAAAATGTTTCTGCTCTAAAAGAGAAGTAAAGCCAAACCTTTTTTTGGCTTTTCTTCTCTTTTGGGTACCAAAGTCAGCATATAGTAGCTACTGGCCGCTATATGCTCACAGTGCAGTGTCAGCATCCACCCAGCTGCCAGCTGTGCCCACTCCCTCTGCTGTCTGTCCCACCAAAGAGCGCTGGAGGAACAGAGAAGTGAGGGGGGAATCCCTGCGACGAGTAGTGACTGATAGTCACCGTCTTCTGCAGGGAGAAGCCATGAGCTGAGTGATCAGCAATTATGTGATCGGTCAGCTCTTGGTATAGAGTCACAGTTGCAGTGTCCCACGCCACCTCTAAATATTTGGAAGAATATATTTTACTCTCTTAAGGCCCCGTTCACATTGAGCGATTTATCGCGCGGTAATTCCCGCGATATCGCGGCTATTTACTGCGCGATATCGCTCTTCAATGCTTTGCAATGGGGCAAAGGGTCCTGCTGTCGCGGGTCGTGTGTCGCTACAGCAGGACCCTTTTTGGAGCGGATTTTGGCGCGATTCCAGCTTGCTCAATGCAAGCATTTGCGCGATATCACGCAACAAACGCGCGATTTGCGAATTGCGCAGTGTGAATGGGGCCTAATACTTCTCCTTTAATCAGTGATCCCCCTGAAGGGAAAGGGCAGTTCAGGAGTAGAATATATTGTACCATCTGGAGTCATTTTAGAGAGCTAATACTTTAAATTTGTGTAATCGGATACTGAGACTGGAATGAGATAGATGCTTAGTATAATTAAAAGGCCCTTTCCCCCATATAACTGACATTCAGTGTTTGTTCTAGGTAAATAAAAAGTATCTTTTCTCACAGGGTTTTTGCCACTGTAGAAAACAGCTGGAGCATAAATGCTAATCTCTTCTGAGATAAGACATCTGTCCCAATGTGAATTAAACAATGTTCTAGAAGAACAATAGATGACAAAGGGAGCCCGTGTACTGCAGACAGTTTATTTTGAAGCTGCTTGAATAAAGTATCCACGTAATAATCACTGTGATGACGTACTCAGGAAAAGACAAAAACTGTATGCAAGATAAATCTTTCTGCTGGATTGTATTCGACAAGAACAGATATAAACAGTGGCATGCCGACACATGTTCAAGCCTTTACACTAAACTGCAAGTATAATAGACTTTTCTTTTGCTTCTGTGTGCTGGTTACTGCAAAACCAAATTAGATGACAAAGGTACAGCAACCCAGCTAACTCTAAAAGAGGCAAGTGTGTTTCCCCCCACATTTTTATGGTTTAATGAGGTACTTTTTCTCAGCCCCACAGCAAACATTTCAAAGAAAACATGTAAATATTAATATATGGCACAATCATACATACAGTACATGCCAACCCTTCTCCTCTGTTTTTCCTTAGTGCCTGTTCATAGCTCTGGTTAGACCCTAAAATGCCTAAAAGCTTTATTGTTTTTTTCAGTGGTAAATTATTTATTTATATAGCAACAACAATTTACTCAGCACTTTACATATTGTACATTCACATCACTCCTTGCTCTCAAGGACTTACATGTTAGGTCCTTATCTCACATGCATACATACACATACTGGAGCCAATTAAGAAAGGAGTCAATTAACCTACCAGAACCTGGAGTACCCTGAGGAAGCCCACACAATCACAGGGAGAACATGTAAACTCTATGCAGGTAGTGTCCTGGTTAGGATTCGAACTGAAGACCCTAGTGCTACAAGACAGGAGTGATACTAAACACTAGAGGATCTATTTAGAAACAAATTGCATGACGTATTTGTCCAGCAAGACCGCAGGTACATTTGTTCTGTGCAAAGTAACCAGCTTTTTTGAGAATTGGGTAAAACGAATGTGCTATGGAGGAACCGACTGCTTCCCGTAAGGACAGGATGGACACATTTAGACAGACATGTGGAAATCAAGAATGGAAAAAAAACACCAAAAACTAATAACGTTCTTAGTGTATTTTCCCTTCTGGTCAAATTCCCTTTAATAAGTTAATTGATTACGAACAAAGTTAATTGGGAAAATACCACAATATGGACACTAGACAGAGCTGAGGAACATATGAAATAAATACATGTTAGTAAAGAGATTCAATAACACAACTCAAGAGAATGTTGGAGAGAATGAACATATCAATGTAAACATTGCTATCCCTGTTGTAGCAATGGTTGCATTTATATGCTCATTTCCTCCAGCGGTCTCTAGAATTGTAATTGAATCTTGTTCCTAACATGTATTTTTTACCTATGATTCTCAACTCTGCTGCTAGTGGCCATAATACAGTATTTTCTTTATGAACTTATTGAAGATCATTCAACCAGAAGAGAAAATACAGAAAGAACATTCTTTTTGCCCAATTCTAACAACAGCTGGTTAACTCGCACAGAACAGATGTACCTGCAGTTTTGCTTGATAGATAACCTATACAAGTGTTTTTATAAATAGACCTCTTTGCTACTGTGCTGTTTTAATCCATGCTTTTTTGTGCTGCATTATTTTTAAAGTCAACCTACTCACTGCATTTTAGGAATGGTATAATCAAGAACAGAAAGGAGAACATGCACTATACATGCTTTTTGTTTGTGTTTGCAGCGCCCTGGTTCACACCTAGGCGTATTGCATACGCGCGTCTGCCGCGCGGTTTTTTTTACCGCGATCCGCGGTAAAAAAATTGCGCGACAAACGCGCGTTTCCAAGGGCTACTTGGCTGTATCCCAATGGAAACGCGCAACAAAAACGGCCCAAAGTAGTACATGTACCTTTTCAGGCGTGGACCTTTTTGTAGCGCGTTAGGGACGGGCTGAAATACCCCAAGGTGTGAACCAGACCCATTGAATACAATGGGATTTAGATGTTTGAGCGTTTTGTAGCGCGTTCGTCGAGCGTAGAGCGCGCTACAAAACGTTCAGGTGTGAACGAGGGCTAAAGAAAATGCAGGATTTACGCTCATGAATAAATACAGAAAATCTACGTTGCAAGTATGAAATACCTTGTATAGTGCCAGCACTAGGAGCTAATCAGATGTGCTTCACTGTGCATGTGATCACAAGGAACACACTAACAGGAGCATAAGGGCTGTTGATGCTCCTTTACTTCCAATTACAGGCTGGGGACAAGCAGGAGACCTAGATTACCTGTCACCAACCTGGCTCTCCTGTGTGGCAGAGCTGTGGACTGGACAGACAGAAATACAAATACCTTGGCAGGTTAAACAGCTCCCATATGTATTTCTGTACATTTACTTGTTTGCTAAATGTAGAGTTCCACTTTAAAGGATCAGGTTACTTTTAGTGGCCTTATCCTTTTCTGCTCCCTTTTCCTCCCTCAGAACATTTGCAAAAGATCATACTTACCTGAAACCCCCTCCTCCAAGATCTCCACTGTGCGGCCTGCCCATCTCTGCACAGACTCTCTCCTGAAATCTTCTAACTTCTGCACTGGGGTACACACATATAACTGCTACAGCCTCAATTCATTGAAAGGTCCACCCACATCCTACTGAAAGGTTTTATCTACTTAATAAGAATCCATCAATATGCTTGAATGAAGCTCTAACTAGTCCACCCCCTTGACTCGACTTCACATATGCTCCCCCATTGTATAGTTTCTCCATTGTTATGGCAAATACCCAGTATTTCCAAGTATGGAAGAACATGCAATCTCCTCCAATGATGTAGTGCTTCAGCCGAAGCAGCCAATTCTCAGGCCAAAACACTGTCATCTGATGAAGAGGAGGACCGGGAACTTACACAAGTGTTAAATCCAAGGACAACGAAGTAGTGGGGTAGTGTGGCGAAGGTTACTATAAGTGGATTGGGGAGGATGGGCTAGTAAGAAACTGTCATTTTGCTCATTCCAGCAAAAGGGACAGAGTCTCTTTAAGAGAACTGAGGCTGCGCACATGCATTCTAGAGCTATGCAGACTTTAAAAACGTACGGGAAGGAGGCAGTGTGGCTCCAGTGAGAACTTTCGTTGGGTAACATGTAAGATCGATTCAAGTGCTGGAGATGGGTGGCAGGAAAATATCTATTCAAATGCACATATTTCAGCCCACAACGTGAATAGGCCCTTGGACTCTCTCATGTGTTTTTTAATCTGGCAGTGTTATGTAACTGCTGCAGAGTTTGTGTTCTCTTTTGCAGCCCTTGCTGCTGCACCGTAGTCACAAGTGTTTGCAATTACACAGCGAAAATAGCTTACTGTTAACCACCCGCTTTTTTGCTTTCTCTGCAGTAATTGGGATTTGCTGCACAAATATCATATTATTTCATTTTCCCTGAACACCAATCACTGCATAATCATGAGGCACCCCCTCAATTATGTCTGAAGTGGCATCAAAAGTGCAATGTGAAATACTTTACCAATTGTGCACACTTCTCTTCTTCTCCTTTACGTTCCTTCTTTTCATTTTTCTTTCTGAAAATTTCTTGTAACTAAAAAAAAAAAAAGATTTCTGCATTAAATATTTGCAAGCTCCTTCAAAACTATTCATGTTCTAAGGTTACCGTATATACAAAGTGTATCTGTATTTCCACAGAGACAGTGACATTTATACAACCTTCCTCAATAGGGGCTACATTTCAAAGTGAGCCTTCAAGTTTCTTGCTGACAAACAAACTTTGCAAACATGATTGCAGCTTACAACTTATATTCAATTTGTTCACAACATATTTAGCTTAGCCATGGTATTGCAGGAGCTGAAATCTTTTACAATAAGTGTCATGTGAAATGTACTGCAGATGCTATATACATTCTAAATACTACTGCTTAATGAAATACTCTACCCCTTGCATTGTTAACAGTCTGTGTAAGCAAACACAACATTCTTCATTAAAATTATGATAAAGTCAAGTTATTTTAAATGCTGATTCAATCACTTGCAATGGATGCTGCTCCTTCAACTGTGATAGTTTTAGCTTTAGAATCAGCTAGTCCCCTGAGCGCTGGCCCTGATATCTTATTTTAGGGTGGCTCATTTCCCCTGCACAGTCCTATGGAGCAACCCTTGTGTGCTAGTAAAGTGCGTGTGTCTCCACAAACACGCGGACACAGCAAGGCCATACACTTCCTTGCTCAATGCTCCCTACTCCTCTATTCTCCTCCTTCAAGCTAGTAGATGAACAACTGCTGGAAAATGTACTGTCATTTGTACTCAGCAGGATGTTTAGGGCATTGGAGCTGAGAGAATTGGAGCCAACTTTTCTGAAACATGATGACTGCAAGTGCTTGGAATTTTTTTTTAAAGAAATACTTTAATGGGGAATGTATATTTATTTGATCTGGATTCAATATTGAAAAAAGGTTTGTGAGGTTAATACTTCTTTACCTCACAATCCCAAAATAAAAATAATAGGTTATATTTCAAAAGGGAATTGGTTCATTAGAAAATTTTACTGCACTGTGACATTCAACTAAGTTCCCCATCAGTAACTCTGGAGGTTCCACAACAAGTGAGCGGATGAATAGCAATAGGTAGATAAGGATTCTGGGATGTCCAGAATGTACAACTGTAATTTGTTGCCACAGAAATGTAAATGTTGCTTTTGCTTGCATGCCTGGCTATTATATGTGTATAACAATTTTTAAGGAAAGATGGCTTCATGTGTCTCTTTCTTATTACAATCTGTAACTTTTGTAAGCAAATATTAACCTAGCCTGCCCAAGCACACATATAGAGATATAGCACATTAGATGCCATCACCTCTTCTGTGGGGGGAACACAGTGGCCAACATAGCAGGTCCATATTACTTCTCGTCATCAGTCGGGTCACCATCTGCTCCTACTGAAGCTCACAATGGCCAATATTATTCTTGTAGCAAAAATCCTCTGTTGCTTGTGGCAGAGTTAAAGAGGAAGGGAAGAGCCCTCCATTATGTAGTGCGTGGTTGTCAGACAAATGCTTACTTGGCCATAAAACTGGTTGTGCCGTGTCTAGTATACACATTGTATTTTCTTAGTTTTGGATAGAGTAAGGAAGAGATAAAACCCCTGTCAAGTTTTTACTGCTCTCCACTGGGCTCTGTTAAAGATATTTATCCTTACTTCCTGTCCTGCTGAGAATGCTTTGCCACACAGGAAAGGAAGTTAACTCTTTAACAGTAACACAATTTTTTTCTATCTTGCTGTCTGGTAAAACCGTTGTCAGCAGAACAGGAAGTAAAGGGACATCTCTAGTGGAGCCCAGGACAGCAGTAAAAGCCTAGCAGTAGTTATAATACTTCCCAACTATATCCACAACTAGAAAGGAAACGTTTTGGCTTGACATACACTTTAGTCTCCTCGTAAAAACTCATGGAATGTGCAATAGAGGAATCTAAGCTTCTGCTATTTCTCTGACTAAGCTATCTCTGGACTATGCTTACATTACTGGTGACAACGGTATTTTCCTAGCTTTTCATACTGCAAACAATGAAATAAACATATCTGTAGTACCACAGCAAAAGAACAGAACAACATTTACAATTATAGTAATTTAGGAATATTAGCAAAAACATTTTATGTATTAAGTGTTTTTATCTGGACATCTTTTTGAGACTTTCAATTGGAAAACATTTAGTCATAAAAGTCTAAGGTGTGAAAATACACATATCATGACAGAATTAAAGTGACACTAAACTCAAGAGTGAAATCTTAAAAATGCATTCAAGTGCCTTACCTATTAACAAAAATGTATCTTATTTGTATATCACTCGGTTGTGGATCCTCAAATCATCTCTGAATTGGTGCTGACACTGTTCTTCCTTATGGAGTGTGGCTACTTTTCTTCCCCATGGTCCCCTGTGTGTGTTGTAAAGTAGCCACCAGTCCAAGCTCACTCCCGTGATGGACAATAATTTAAATACAAACTGAAAAACTTTGCGCCTTAGGCCGTGAAAGATCTCGACAATATTGTCGAGATCTACCCTGTTGCTTGTTCTCTTGAGGCAGAGCCAGCTGTGCCCGCCCCCTCCCCATCCATCCCTCCAATCAGCGTTATTAATATGAGTTGCCCCACTCAATATTCCGCCGCTTACGGCCATATTGAGTGGGACAACTCAGATAAATAACGTGCTGGATTAGTGTGACCCTAGTTTATTTTAATACTTTACTGCTGTGTAGTATGTGTGTAGGGAAACGCCGCGGGTAGCGCACGTACAGTAAAGCCTTTCTCGACCACACCTCTTGCTTCTAACTAAACCGGAAGTCAGATCATTGGAGATCTCGAGGAGTTGGAGTTTTTCGACAGAACACCGGTATGTGATCGCTTGGTTCTTAATCAATAGAGCCAATTGGTGACATCTTCAGTGTCACACGTCGGCTCTAATTAAGGGGATGAGTGTTTTTCCTTCCCATTATTCTCCTTTAATAGTTAGGGTACTTGAATGCATTTTTAAGATTTAACATCTGAGTTTACTGTCACTTTAAGTGGTCAACTGGACAAACTGCTGATCTACAAATTTACTTATTTCTACCACAGTGGATTATACTAGGGGTGCGGAAATTAACGATTAATCCGTCGATTAATTGTTAATTTCTTTGATCGATCAAAATAATTTTGATCGATCACCTCTCCGCCGGCTTCCGTCGGAGATCCGGTGACGTCACGGACATCGACGTCACCGGACTCCCCCCCCCTCCCCGAGTGGCTCTGTCGGCTAACAAAGGGAAGGGGGGAGGAGTCGGGTGATGTAGTTGTCCGTGATGGGTAACGAAGGGAAGGACTGAGGAGTCCGTTGACGTCGATGTCTGTGACGTCACCGGACTCCTCCCCTTCCCTTCTTTACCTCAGCTGCGAGGACCCAGCAGCAGCCCCCTGATACAGAGACCCGCCTCGATGTTCCCGGCTGCTGTCCCCCCACGCTGGTATGTTTTTTTACAGCACCCTGCTCAAGCTATAGAACATGGAATAGAATATAGCGGAAACTGACTATATTCTATTCCATGTTCTATAATGTCATTGTACTACTAGGAAACTACAAGTCGGCAGTTCAGCTGCGACTTGTAGTTCCCTGTATGATAGAAGCCTGTTTTAATTACTGTCCTCATGAAAGTACTAGTAATACAAAGTCATTATAGAAACATTGAATAGAATATAGTTGAGTTCAAAAGTTACTGTACTATAATGGCATTGTATTTTCATGAGGAAAGTAATTAAAATAGCCTTATATCATACAGGGAACTACAAGTCCCAGCATGCACTCACCGCCCTTGTACAACTCTCACATATCACGCAGGGAACTACTGCAGGGGGCTTGCATGCTGGAACTTGTAGTTCCCTGCGTGATTTATGTGGGGGACGGTGTACAAAGACCATAAGGGCATGCTGGGACATGTAGTTCCCTGGGTGATGTGGAGAGGTGTACAGGGGCAATGAAGGCATGCTGGTTGTAGTTGAACTGCAAGTCCCAGCATGCCTTCATTCTTATATCCCAGGGTCGCAGGCACTGGTGTTCTGCTACTTGGGGGTTGGGGGAAGTCTCCTGGTTCATGAGTGCATCGGATGTGAAAACCAAAGAGAGAAACAAGAGGGCGCAAAACTAGGTCAGCTGACTGCCTGGACCGAACATATCAGGGAAGGTGACAGGAACAATAAATATATATGTATAATGTACTTACTTATGTGGGTCTGGGAACCAGATGTGAACCGGCCTGTGAGGAGGATCAGGATGTCCAGAATGTATGTTGAATGGCGGCTGATATATTGCCTGAGGCTGCCGCCATTCAACATACATTCTGGACATCCTGATCCTCCTCACAGGCCGGTTCACATCTGGTTCCCAGACCCACATAAGTAAGTACATTATACATATATATTTATTGTTCCTGTCACCTTCCCTGATATGTTCGGTCCAGGCAGTCAGCTGACCTAGTTTTGCGCCCTCTTGTTGTTCTAACAAGGCTGGTTAGACCCCACAGAGCCCTGCTACCCTGGTGAGGCCCCCTCAAAGCTCTGGTGAGACCCCCCTCTGTATGTGCGTTATAATTAATCGAAATTAGTCGATTAATCGATAAAAAAAAATTTGATTAATCGAACTGGAAAATTGTAATCATTACCAGCCCTAGATTATACAGATATCTAATTAGGATGAGATACCTTATTTACTACCCCTGTTTTGTAATTATAATAGATGTAATAAATCCCAAGTGACCTCTTCTTTATATATTGCTGGTTGTACTCTGGGACTAAACTCTCGCTGTATGACAATGTGCAAAGTAAATGTGACTTCTGACTTCCTGTCAGCTGTATTGCAGTTTGTCCTCATCAATAGTCTACTCTGTAAGAACCTGTGTTAATCTAGGGAAACAGCCCACTAAGAACCAGCAACTCTCAAATATCACCTCTATACACCGTGCCATTTGTCTGCATTGGAGACACCAAGCATACCTACAGATCCCTTTTCATACTGTCAGCACAATTCAATTAAATGATTAAGATTTTCTGTGCTTGTAAGA